AAAAAAAAAAAAAAAAAAAATCGGAGAAACAACCCGAAAGGGATAAACTCCATCGAAGAGATCTTGCAATCACAGAGCGTCTTCCACGACGAGACTTCCATTCTATACCTTTTACACAAGATTGTAAAGGAGAAGCGAAACGTTGCGATGTGTGCCAGGCGGAAGAGGCAATTCGAATTTGTGCAGACATGCACCTCGGTCATCATTCATAGAGAAGGCGCGGCAGGAATAGAGCAGTCCGCTGGGGAGCCGCGGGGCGCAGCGGGGAGCGCCAGGGATGGGAAGGAGAGAAGTGATCCCGTGAACGGGAATGATGCCACAAAGGGGGTTGATGCCGCAAAGGGGGTTGATGCCACAAACGGGAATGATGCTGCAAACCAGAGTGATGGAGAGAACCCCCCCGCCGACGCACTCAGCTCGCCCATCCTGCGGAACGTTAGGCACTGCTTCATCACGGTGAATAACGAAGGGATGAACAAGCACGAGGAGCTGAAATACAAAATGAAGGTCATCCTGAAGGTAGTAAAAGAAATAAAATTCAACCAATGCTTCCTTTTTATTAACAACACATATGAGGGGGTGCAAGTCAGTAAGATGCTAAACAAACACAACATCTGCTGCTACTACACTAGCGCCAAGATTGACCATCAGGAAAGGATGAATGTTTTTAATAGACTGAAAAGGAATCAGGTGAAGGTTGTCGTCTGTAGTGATGTTATGAGCAGAGGGATCGATAACATCGTGTGCGATTTGGTAATCAATTTAGACATACCTCAGAATAAGGAGACTTATATTCATCGGTCCGGAAGGTGCGGAAGATATGGCAACAGGGGGTTGTGTATAAGCCTCTGCAATTACTCCGACTACGCGTACCTCCATTTCTACAAATACCAGCTGCGACTGCCTGTGCACGACTTCTGCTACCTCCGCAGGGAGCAGCAGTTCGGGCGGCACTCGGCGGAGGAGACTATCCACTTCGTGGAGGGGGCGAACGACCCGCACGGCGCCGCTTGGAGTTGTTACGATCGACGCGATGGGGGAGAAGACGGGGAAGAAGTCACTCGGGAAGAGGCCATCAGGGAAGAGGTCATCAGGGAAGAGGTCATCAGGGAAGAGGTCATCAGGGAAGAGGTCATCAGGGAAGAGGCCACCCGGGAAGAGGCCACCCGGGAAGAGGTCACCCGGGAAGAGGCCACCTGGGAAGGAGCCATCCGGGGTGACCACACCGCCACCTCCGTTGAAGCGCAGTTAACAGACCATACAGTTGAACAGCCCAAGCACAAGGCGGCCCATCGACCGTGCCGCTTAAGGAGCGCCCCGAGGCGGAAGGTCTTGGCCCTGAACATCAAGGGGTTTTGCGCCGAGGGCATACACATCGCGGGGAGGGGCAGCCATGTTAGAAGGCAGGTCAGCACCCAATCGAATGACCCACTCCACCGCGTCTACCTCAAACTGCGCGTGAAGAAGTTTGTTAGCAGATTCAAAGTGACGAGAAACGAAGTCTCCTGTGAGTTTTGTCTCCCCAACGATGATGTAGGTATGTTTAAATCGATCAGCATCGTCCAGCACAAGTCGAATCTGATTATTTTCTTCCTCTTTAGCAGAAAAATACCGATGCGATTCTTTTCCTTCCGCTCGATGCCACTTCTTCCAGAGGGGGCGGAGGAGGAGAAGGGGAGTAAGTGGATCCGATCCACCTACTGCTTCCTCTTTTTCTGCAACTCGGATAGCTACCTAGTGCTGAAGGTGTTTTATTTCTTCTTGTTCCATTTTAAGCATTATGAGTATCCCCTGAGGGAGGCCCTGACTCCACTGCACATTCACACAGGAGGGATCACACAGAAGGGGGGGGGCAAATCGAAAAAGAGATGCAATCTATGTTGCCACGTATTCCGTCCCAACCGAGTCAATCTCAACTACGTCTCGGACAACTGCCTCATGATAAGTGACAACATCGAAAGGAGAGGAGGAAGAAGGAAAAATTTCAAAGGGTACCAAAGTGATGAAGGTTTTTACCTGAACAGGCAAGGCAAAACAGTAACCACTTTTCAGAGGGCCATGTTTTACCCTTTCCTCTTGGGGAGCCGAAAGGGGCATCGCGCGAGTGGCAAGTTAAGCAGTCCGGACGGGGTACACATGGAGGGTACTCACACAGAGCATACCCCCACGGAGAGTGCTCAGACGGAACTGCAGCCGAGCTCACTGCCCCTAGAAAGCGCTCTCAACCTGATAAAGGCAAACTGCCATGAGAGGAAACAGATCGTTACCTTCTCACAGCAATGCAGTGAAGTCCACTGCATGAATGATCAGCGGGAGATCGTCCAGAAGGTAAATAAGCTGATCGCCCCGCAGGTGTTCCTAAATTTAGCCAATGGGGAGCAGGACGTCCATCTATTGAAAGGGCTCTTCCTGCAGAGTCACGTGCAGCTGCATGGTGGAGACGCCGCGGATGAGGAAGAACGCCGTGTATAGAGAAGCAGAATGGGTTTTGCTATTTTGTAAGAGCGAAGAGAAGGTTACGTGGAGTAAAGGACATTTACCTGCACAGGGCGGCATCAAATGAGGAGGGAAAAAAGAAAAAGACAAAAAAGAAGAAAAAGAAAAACAAGAAAAATACAATTGAAGATGAAGTGGAAGTCCAAGTCCAAGTGCACTTCCCGTGGGGGGGCCACTCCAAAGTGAGGTTATTTCCCCTTCCCCGCGTGAGCATAGAAGTGACTGACCCGAAGGGCGTCGTCAAAATTGACATCACATCAGCATGACTGTCTGTGTAGAATGAGTGAAGTATTTTTAAAATGCATTGGGATGGGATCTCCTCGAGAAAGGGGCAGTTTGGACGGCATCCGCTTCGCCTAGTTGTCGTCGCTGCTGACACCCATTTCGGCTTTCACTAACAGGGGGGGAGAATAGAGACAAAGCACTGTTACAAGAAGATTTATTCGATGTGGAACTGCACTCTGTTGATGCAGCACTCTTCTCATGCGTATCGGTGTGGGTGTGGGGGGTGACACCTTCCTTACGTGTGAAGTATTTTTGCTGTGTTTCGTTTATCTGTGAATGCAGGGAAGGGGAGAACAGACGCGTCGATGTGTATAGCTATGTCGATGTGTATAGCTATGTCGATGTGTACAACTCTGTCGATGTGTACAACTCTGTCGATGTTTACAACTCTGTCGATGCGTACACCTGCGCCGACAGTACCATTCACATGTGCAGGTGCGCGGGGAAGCTTCTCCCTCACGCTTGATGCACCGCCTTACCTCCTTGGATAGCTGCGTTGCTTCGGTCATCAGATCACATATCTCCTCCTGCACTTTGGACTGGAACTGGAGGTACTTCCTCGTGTATGTCTCCTCCTGGAAGTCGTACTTGAGGACTGCAGGGGGGAAGTGAGCCATTTGGAAGGTTGCCTTGTTGGCAGTTTGGCCGCTTAGCAGATTGACCCCTTAGACGGTTGGCCACTTTCCCGGGTGGGTCGCCTATTTCCACCACGCACGTACAGTGGTCGTGATACTTGTGGGGGGCCGTCCTGCTGTTGTTGCTCTGAATGATTTTATTGTACAGGCTGACGGTGGGGTTTCGGAAGATTATTTCTTCGTACGTCTGAAGGGGGGGGTGAAGAAAGCGGCGGTGAGGCAAGCGGCTATGAGGCATAGGCTGGTGGAGCGGGAATGGACAGCTACAAGCGAACAGCACAGGAGTGACATCGCGCGTCCTTCCCGGTGGCACTAACCTCGTTGACGACGCAGGGGGGGCAGGCCGACTCCGAATCCGTGTTTAGCTAAGACGGAAAAAGAAAAAAAAAAACAAAACATCAATGAGGAGTGACGTGCGAGGACCGAAGTGTGCACAATTTGCTATCCATAACGTAACGTAACTTATTAACAATCATAGACCAATGTGTGGGCCAATCCGGTCAATCCATCCGACCAGTCGGCGTGGCCAACCCAGGCGCGCTACCTTCACAAAGTGCATGATGCTCACGGGCGCCAGGGACACATCGGCGAAGTGAATCTTAACCGTCAGGTAGAATTCGCCCCATCCTATTTCGTTCACCTCGTAGGGGGGCTGCGTGTAAACTGGGGGGAGGAGGAAGAAGAAGAGGGCGGTGTCTCCAGTGGGGCGAAGCGGTTACCTCGGAGGAGCAGTCACCCGAGCAGAGCGGCCATCGGAGCAGGGCGCCCGACGGGGGGGCGAGTCCAAGGCAGCTAACCTCGTTTGGGGTAAATGAAAGAGGGGTCCAACTCAAAAACGACTTTCTGGACAAAGAGAGAGAGGTCCGAATAGTTGGGGCAGCGCAACAGGCAGGTCCACTTGTGCGTCATGTTTCCGAACTTTCGCTTCTCCTGTGTTGGGAGGGGGGGCATTCGGAGGGTGAAGTGCGCAGAGGATACGGCTCAAACGGTGCGGTGAAGGCAACACCGCTCAACCGTCTCCGTCTGGACGATACAGCTCTGAGGCGAACTCCATCCCGGGCACATACCTGCTGGGAGAGTAAGAAGGCGTAAGTGCCAACCACCACGGGTTTCACCAGCTTGACGTTTTGCATGCGAGTCTCCACTGCGGAAGGGGGTTGAGTAGAGGCGGTAAAACATAAAATGGGCATCAGTCCAGGGGGCACCATGTGTACACATAGGTAAGGATACGTATATACGGCGCTGGAAGTATGTAGAGGGACAGGCGATGTGTCCCCGCGGTCCTGCCCGGCGTACTCCGCCTCACTTCGCACTCACTCTTTGCGGGGGAAGGGGTTTCCTATTGGTGGGCACCGCTGCAGAGGCGAAAAGGGCGAAGAGAGCGAAGCGGCAAAAAAAAGAGAAAAACACAGCCGCTGCAGCAAAGGAGCCGCTCAGGGAAAACAAGAAAGCGACGCCTCCGGCAGGGGCAACATCTTAAATGATTCTTTTCCCCTCCGGGGAGAAATGATTCAGAAAGGCTGGCGCGCAATTGGGGACGGGGGGCAAAACGGAAGAAGCGCGAGGGCGGTGATACGGGGATATACTGCTGAGCAGCAACCGTTCTGACTGTCTATGCCTAAAGGGGTAGCGGGAAATAAAAAAAAAAAAAAGAAGCTAAGCGCAGAACGGAGCGCAGAAACGAAGTGCAGAACGGAGCGCAGAAACGAAGTGCAGAACGAAGCGCAGAAACGAACCGCATAACGAAGCGCATAAATGAAGCTTAGAAACGAAGCTTAGAAACGAAGCTTAGAAACGAAGCTTAGAAACGAAGCTTAGAAACGAAGCGAAGAAACGAACCGCACAACGAAGCGCAGAGCCACTATCGTAGCAATTGCTCCATGGTTGAAGCTTACCCACCCCTGCGTAGCTCCAAATGGGAGAGTGTTGGGGGCCTACCCGAATTGTTTTCTTTTGCTTCTTTTAAATGACTCCCCAGAGGAAATGCCAAACCGGAGGAAGCAGAGATGCGAGGGGCGGCGCATGCGGAACGGCAGGGCCATCGCAGCTGGGGTGGCAGTCCTCCTCCTCCTGCTGCGCACCGTATGTGGGGGTGCCCTCCAAGTGGAAAAACGAGGCGTGACGGGGAATCACAGCACACCAACTGCCCGCACCAACTGTGAGACAAGAAAGCGGTCGCGCTGCTTTCTTCGACCCCCTGTGAGATCACCAAGAAGGGAAAAATTCCCTCAAAAGAAACCTCTCAATTCATTCGAAAGGAGTGTCGACAAAGTCACAGGACATTTTCTTAGCGACAGAGACCTGTTCATAGAAGTGGACAAAAAAAAGAAGATGATTGAAGAAATGGAAAAAATAAATCACCTCCAGTATGAACACGTCCAAAAATACATCGATGTCTTAAGCGAAAACGACGTATACGAAGAAGTCATAAATCACAAAATTCACCTGTACAAGAAGGGGAATGAAACAGAGAAGCTGAAAAAGCTGGTAAAGCTTCAGGCCTTTTTGAACCCTTATATTATAAGCCAACGGAAGAAGAAGGCTAAAGGGAAGGTGGAATATATGATTGCTTGTATTCTTAAGGGGGAGAATATCGACCAAATCATTACGGACATGTTTAAGAAAAAGCTCATTGACGTCTACGTGCTGACCTTCATCGATGACAAGGTGATGGAGGCGCACGCCAAGTTGGTGGGGGGCGGCATTAGCAAGGTTAACGAGGTTAGCGGCGGGAGCGGTGTTACCGGCGTTGACGAGGGGAGTAGTAGTAGCAATGTTAGCAGCGTTGACGGGGGGGAAGAACTCGGCGGAGCGGACCAAATGAGCATGACGGAGAAAATCCTAAGGATGCTGAAAGACCGCATCGTGGCACAGCAGAAGCTGCAAGTCAAAGGCACCTTCGACTTCACTAGGATAGTTTTCCTCTCCACCACCCTCGACATGAGTGAAGATAGGCAGCCCATAATCAAATCCGCCATTAGGACCATAGAGCAGCTGGAAGAATTTGAGCTGTATTTGCTGGACGCACTGGACTATGCAGAGACGAACGAGAAAATGAAGCAGTACGTCCCGCACTTGGAGCTGCTACTAAGCACATGTAAAAAAATGAACCCCGTCTTTAATCAGCTTCTAAACAAACAGACCGAAAACGTTCGCTTCTTCCCCGATAAGATTGACATGTCGCAGTTTAAGGAGCTGTAGTGAGGGTTCTCCCTCTACGGATTCGTCTCTCTACGAAGAGTGGTTGGCTCTGCTGTGCGTCCCGTGTTCCACCCTTGCGAAGGGGGGGTACAGATAACCATTGTGTTATGTGCTGTTTCGACAAGGTGATAACCATCACGCGCATGTCCCATATACTGATGTAGTTTGCAACACTATCTGTGGTGACGAAGGAAGTCCTTTCAAAACGGGGATACGTGCCGGTAACACTTAGTGCCTCGTTAGAAGCGTTCGGTTGGTTGGCACCCCTGTGCGGGGACAAATTCGTGGGTCGCTTTCCTTTTAAGAAACCAAATGGACAGATCTCTTTCCTCGTTGTGCCCTTCAATTCGACACAGCTTTGTCTTTTATCGCTTCACGCGGTTGGATCACCTCCTCCAACACAGACACAAAATGGTTACGTTTATTTTTTAGTCCTTTTCGCTTTCGCTATGTTGGCCATCCCGCTGTGTAGGGCTGGTACCCATTCACGGTTTCGTTTCGTTTTTTTTTTTTTTTTTTTTTTCGTTTGCTTCTTTTAAACACAAACAATGTAGCAGTTTTAAGCAGAAGGTGCCTCAGTACGGGGACATCCCCCCCCTTGTGTGTTGTTTCCCAGTACGATGTGGTGTATAAAGCCACGTCAGACCGCAAGAACAGCTGCGCCCGCTGCCTATTAAGTGCCTTAAATGCAGACCAATTGGCCATGTGTTCGCGCGAAGGTCAGCGAAAATTTACCTGAACAGGGTCATACAAAAAAGGGAAGAAAAAGCGCTGGCAGTAATTTGCGAATGGGGAGAGACAGAGCGGATCGAGGGACGGGAAAACCCCTAGTTCGGTGGAGACGTGGCGCGAAACCATCATAACAGATGAGCGGCAGGAAAAACATTCACACGGTTTATCATATGGTTTATCACATGGTTTACTCTGGAGTGGGAAACTCTTTCTGAACAAAGTTGAGCTAGCCAAATATTTCCTCCTTCCTTTTTCGCTTTTTTTTTTTTTTTTTTCCTTTTTACCTGAACAGGTCAGGTAACAAATTGGCAAAGCTTCGCCTCGCGGGGGAAAAGAGTATACACATGAAAAATTCACGTAAAGGCAAACTTGTGGGGACGCATTAGTATACACCTACACCACTGCGCCGCGAGCTACACCCCGCGCGCATGGGAGGGCTTCTCCCCCCTCGCAGATGCAGAAATTCCCCCCGCGGTGAGAAGTGCATGTGCAGGGGGGAAGGCGCGGTTGAGCGAACTTGCGGTGAACTTGCTGCAAAGTCCCCGCATATATGTATGCATCACTGCGTGCTGGAGCACGCAGATTGGGGAGGCGCATGCCGGCACAAACGCGCGTACACGAGCGTACGTACCTGCGGGGCCGCAAAAATAAAATATGCCGCGCGATGGCGCGATGGTGCCATTGTGCGTCCGTACGTTTTACGTTCATTTTTTTTTGGGAAGGGGTTCCTTTGATGGCAAGCAGAGAGAAAAAAAAAATTCAGCCAAATTGCCAAGCGGAAGTAAGCGTAAGGAAGCGGAAGTGTAAGCGTAAGCGACAAATGATCCCCAAGTGATCGCTAATTTGTCGCCAACTTTGTCGCGAACTTTTCGCCAACTTTTCGCCCAAACGGCAAAATCACCCAGGAGGCACAACGCGAGGAAAAAAATCAGAACGCGGAAATTGAGAAAAGCGAGGAAAAGACGCCAGCTGAACGGAACGCAAAAAATTGAGAGAAACAGGATGGCATGAGACATGTGCACAAAGTTGGAGTGAAATCCTTTTGTACATGTTTCGTTATCCGATCGCCCTGGCATCCGCTGAGTAATCAGGCGCGTATGCGAAGTTGTCACGTGCGTGCCGGGTGAACCCCCTTTGGAGTTACTGCGCTTGTACCCCAAAGTTCGTTCCACTCCACTGCGCGTGCATCACAAAGTTGGTTCCACTCCACTGCGCTTTACTACATTCCGTGTTTTCCCTTTATTTACGCCGCGTCCACTCCCCCCTGTGTTCTACGTGGCCCAGCTATATGGTTCGGGTCACGCCGCATGAAGCCCTCCCACCCGTTGCCTCTTGAGACTTGTACCCATGGGAATATTCAGATCGGAGGTAAGTTGGCACAAGTGGCAGTTTCTGCGGGGGGACTTCCCAAGGGGAATCCACCTGTGCCGCGTACCGACATGTGCCGCGTATCGACATGTGCCGCATAACCAAATGCGCCTCTTTACCCACCTTTTCCGCCTACCCCTTAGACGATGAAGCACGGGACGCTGGTCCTGCCCTCAGACCGAGCCAGAGAATACCTAGACTGCCTGGGAAAGAACATCGACATACAGTTTATCGATATGAACGAGAAGACGATGAAGAGGCAGTACAAGAAGTATATCCAGAGGATCGACGATATGGAGAGAATTCTTCGTTTCCTGGAGGAGAATATAAAAAAATTGCCAAATGTAAAAATCAAAAAAAGTAAAATAGACTCTTTTCTCGAACACGATAATGTGTATGAATTGGATCAAGTGGAGGAGTCACTAAACCGTTTGCATGTGCAGTTTGTTCGTTTCTGCAATAATAATAAGGACCTTGTTGATGAGAGGAACAACGCTATAGAGGAGAAGCACGTGATACTGACCGCCATGAATCAGCTGAACCCAGATGGGACAAAGAATGGAAATGTTGGAAGGAGACTGCAGGAGAGCTCTCTTCCCTACGACGAGGTGAATGACGAGAGTGTGTCTCTACAGACCAATATGATGAAGGACGGAATGAACATGATGATGTTTACGAACATATCTGGAGTAATAAAGACGAAGGACCAAGAAAGTTTCAGCCGAACCATTTTTAGGGCGCTCAGAGGAAACACATACACATACTTCCAGAGCATCGACGAGAGTGCAATTTCTTCCAAAGGGGGGGAAGCAGCAGGAGGAGCAGTCGACGGAGTGAATGACGTCGATGAGGGTATCGGGGGAGGAGCACCACCATCCTCCCGCATACACAACGGAGGTAACGACGATGATGATGTGGCGGATGGAAGGAACGATATCGAAAACGACAAGGGAAAGACGAATGAGCCGAAGAGTGTCTTCGTTGTGTATTGCCAGGGATCTTCCCAAAGCAACATATACCATAAGATTCTGAAAATATGCCAGGCATACGATGTGAAGACGTACGATTGGCCGAAGACGTATGAACAGGCAAGGCAAAGATTGAACGAACTGAAAGAGATCATTACAGATAAGGAGAAGGCATTGAAGGCGTATGAGGAGTACTTCATAAATGAGATCTTCGTCCTGATAAATGTCGTTGAGCCGAACAAGAACAGCCTCATAGAAGAGTGGAAACTGTTTTGCAAAAAGGAGAGATACATATATAATAGCTTGAACTGTTTCGAAGGAAGTGACATCACGTTGCGATGTGATTGCTGGTTCAGTGCAAATGATGAGGAGAAAATTCGACACATGCTGATTACCAAGTCGTCGAACGATTTGGTCTCCGCCTTGTTGTTGTCCGATAAGGTCCTCACTCCAAACATCTCCCCCCCGACGTATATTAAGACGAACAAGTTTACCAAATCGTACCAATCGATGGTAGATACGTACGGCATCCCCCGTTATGGAGAAATCAATCCAGCCATTTCGACGATCATCACTTTTCCATTTCTATTTGGAATAATGTACGGCGATGTAGGACACGGAGTATGTATCTTCCTCTTTGCTCTTTTTCTAATCCTCATAAACAGTCGCATGAAGAATAAAAATCAAAACGAGATGGTTAGTATGTTGATGGATGGAAGGTATATGCTGCTTCTTATGGGCTTCTTCGCCATCTACGCCGGCTTCCTCTATAATGACTTCTTCTCCATGCCGCTCAATTTGTTCACCTCCATGTTTGAAGTGGATAAACAGGTCGACTCCGTCGTTTACTACAAGAGGAGAAAAGTGATGAATGAAGCGACAGGCCAAATGGAAGATGCAGATCCGTACCTCTTCGGTTTCGACGCAAAGTGGCTAGGGGCAGAAAATGAACTTACCTATATTAACTCATTTAAAATGAAATTTTCCATCATCATCGGATTTTTACATATGACGTTTGGAGTGATAATGAAAGGATTGAATGCATTACATTATCGGAGGAACATGGATTTCTTTTTCGAATTCTTACCTCAGCTGATGATGATGCTCTCTATTATTGGGTACTTAGTCTTCCTAATCATATACAAATGGGTGACCCCCATAGGTTACGGAGGGTACCAGAAGCAGGGCATCATAAACACCGTTATTAATATGTATTTGATGAAAGACTTAACAGCGGAGAATCAGTTTTACGCTCATCAGGGGTTGGTGCAGACCTTCCTGATTGCCATCTTCGTTCTGTGCATCCCGCTTATGTTCGTGTGTAAGCCCGCCATTCGAACGTACCACATTATGAAGGAGAAGAGATTCCGGGGGGGCATATCAAGAGGGGGCAGCTACAGGGGAAGCGGCTACGGGGTAGGGAGTTACTCTAACCACGAGGAGAAGGAGATGACACACACGTTTAACCACCTGGTGAGTGGAGAGGCAAGCGGGGGGAACTCCTCCAATATGGGGAACTCCACTGCTTCCCCTCCCACCCTGCACAAGCGAAGCCCCAACTTGGCCTTCCCCAACAACCGCGAAGAGGACTACCTCTCCCCCAGGAGGAGAAACAAGCCAACGGACGACGAGATGGAGGCCCACCTCCTTAGCCCTTCATCCCCCAATGACCCCGACGGCCTGATGGAGTCCTTCGGAGCGGGCTCCGTGGGAACTGCCCATCACGAAGAGAACATCTCAGAAATATGGATCGAGCAGCTAATCGAGACGATCGAATTCATTTTGGGTCTAATCAGCAACACGGCTTCGTACCTGCGACTATGGGCCCTGTCCCTAGCGCACCAGCAGCTGTCATTCGTCTTTTTCGAGCAAACTATCTTGAACTCACTCAAGAAAGATAGCTTCATGTCCGTTCTTATTAATCTAATCGTCTTTTCGCAGCTCTTCTCCATCCTCACCATCGCTGTCATCCTCTGCATGGACACGCTGGAGTGCTTCCTCCACTCGCTGCGGCTGCAGTGGGTCGAATTCCAGAACAAGTTTTACAAGGGCGACGGCATTCCCTTCCGCCCCTTCAACATTAAGAAGCTGCTCTCGGAGGGTGACTAAGGGGGGGTAGAGCCGCGAGGGGGGCGATAACACTCAGCAGATGTGTCCCCCTTATGCGTTGCGACCCCTTCCACTGCCGAGATATTTCTCTTTTCATTTCCACCGTCCGTTCGTGCGCACAGGATGCGCGCGTAGGCTCTGCACCCATCCTGTGCGCACACCCTATGGTTTATTTTATTCTATCTTATTCTATTTTATTTTATCCTATTTTATCTCATTTTATTATTTTTTTCTTTTTTTTTGTTGCCCTATTTACATCCAACTTGTGATCGGCTTACACACACCCCTTAGAGACATCTGAACGAAATTGTTTTTTCGCCACCCACTTTTTCGGGGGGGAGGGTTCTCCACGACATGTCTGGTGCGCATATTAAGGGGTCAACGGGCGATTGCACGAGGGAAAACTTGGTCCGTTTGGCTGGTCCGTTTGGCTAGTCCGCTTGGCTAGTCATTTTGGCCGTCCAATTGGATTCGCGTTTCACGTTATAGCCATGGGGTGGGACAAAAAAAAAAAAAAAAAAAAGAAGTAAACTAAACTAAATTAACGCAGATGGGGGGAAGGGGCAATCAGATGATGGGATCGTGGTCGTGCTGCCACGCCGTCGTGCTTCCATACTGTCGAGTCGTCGCCCCCCACATAGAGAAGCAGCAAGTGGGTACCCCCCATGTGTCGCTGCCCAACTAGTGCTCACCCCGCTGCAGCACCTGCTGCGACACCTCCTGCACCTTTCGGTACGCCACGTCGTTGCAGGGAAGGGCGTTAACCAGTAGTGTTTCCAATCGGAGTCCCTGCATGAGCTCGCCTACGTCGGAGCGAACAATAGTTTGGGTCAAGTCCGTCGAGTCGGCCGAGTCGGAAGGGCAGCAATGAAAAAAGGTTCGACATATCCTGGCAAAGCGCTCAAAGAAGGGAGTGCACACGTCTTCGAAGGTAGAGTCAAGCAGCAACAAGTAGAATGCGCGAAAGTTTGTGGTCACCACGTAGTTAAATCGCCGGTCTATCTCTATGACCTTCGTACCCGCGCTGTCACAACTGGTGCAGGCGTTCTCATCTGGGGAGAGGCTCATCAGGTTGGTCAGCGTGAGTGCCTTACCTGCTGCATCGATTCGGAAAATGAGCGTGACTTCTCCGGGGGGGTCGACACCTTGGGGGGGTTCCGCCAGAGCCGCTACTCTGTTTCTGCCCGCCAGAGTCGCTACTCCGTTGCTGCCCACCAGAGCTGTTTCTTCCACGGCACTGATCCGAAGCCGCCTGCGTAACCGAAACAGGCATAGCAACTGCGAGACGAAGCTCAAGTTAGGGTTAGACAGAGGGCGTAGCTTCTTCACCAGATCGAACGCATCACCAAATGGTAACTCCAGATGGGTCATGAGAAAAAATATAACTACGATGACGGACCTGGAAACTCCCTTGTTGCAGTGGACTAGAATTTTGTTTCCTTTCTCACTGGTTAGCATTTCTTCGATAAAGTGAGCCGCATCCAGGAGAGTATAAAACATGTCTTCTCGCAAGTCGTCCTTCACGTAGTACGTTCTGTACGAAATGGTCGCTTCAAATCTGTTGGGGCATTCTTCCCCTCCCATATTAACAATGTGGGTGATTTTTTTTTCTCTCAATTTTTCACCGTCCGCCGCGAATTCGTACCCACTTAGCAATAACCGACCATTCAGGAGCTCCGTGCAGGTGGAGCTGCTCTTGGTAAGGACGTCTTCCTTGTCGGACGAGGGGGTGCCACTGGGGGGGTCACCCCTGCGTTCGTCATCCAGGTCATCGATGTAGTCTAGCTCATCTGCGTCTTCGCCATATTTGTCATTTTCGCCACCTCCATCCTGTTTTTTCTTCTTTTTTTCTTCCTCCCTCTTGCGTCTAAACGATCTTAAGTTCAGCTTCCCCACCTTGATCTCTTGAATTGAGAGCTGGCTGATCCCTTTTGAGGTGGCGAGCGGAGGAGACTCCCCTGTCTCGTCTTCCTCCAAGTGGATGGTATCATCTCTGCTAGGGGGGAGGGTCCTTCTCTCTTCGTCGTCTTCGCTATTACGGCCAGGGCGCGCGGCATTCACGCGGGTCACGGTGCTCACACGGCGGAAGCCGCTCCCCCCCTCGTCCTCTACCATCGAGTTGTCGACCCACTCGGAGCATCCCTTTCGCTTAACAGGAGTGGAAGCAGTTGGAGACGAATCCACATGGAGGGTCAAGATGATGGGAAGGAGAGGGCAGGAGGAAAGGCACCTCTCTCTTAGTCCATCCCAGGGGTATACTTCCTCCTCGGAGGGAACTAACTTCTGACAGATGAGCAATTTTTGTGCCCCCGTAATTTCCCCCAAGGGAGGGGCATGTGTGGAGAGGTAAGATGAATCGCAGCTGGTAGGTCAGCCGAACTTACGTGACATTTAACCCTTATTCACACACACCCGGGCGCAACAGTTGAGCCGTCACTGCCCTTGGAGTTTTCCCTTTCTGTTGGGGGATATGTCCGCCTGCTGGCCCTATCCTTTGATTCTTCCTCCGTTGTTCCTGTCTCCCTTGCCTACCCCATGGAAGGAAGAATAACTAAGGGGGGGGGACTTTCTCCACGTGACTGAAAGTAAATAACGAAGAAAAGTAGGGACCACCTCCCGCAGGCTAGCAAATTGAGACACACCTCCGATGAGAAAACCTTCGTCTTCCCTCCTGGTTACCTCCGCTGCGTCCCTCCCCAAACAGCAATCTCGTTCCTGGCCTTATGTGGTGGGATAACATAACAGTTTGCGCTTCTCCCTGGGTCTAAATTATGCCATTCCTCTTTGTGATTTTTTTTTTTTTTTTTTTTTCGTCCAGGGAATAATAAATGTTTCCAGCTGTGTGCGCGTGGGTGGTGAGAAGAAGTAGGAAAAAGTGCCCTCCCCGCGACGTTCTGTCGGCTACGTTCAATCTGCAGCGTTCAAACTGCAACGTTCAACCCGCAATATCCCGAGGAGTTATCACACACCGAGATGCTTCCCTTCGCAGAGGAGGTGACGTCCTGCACACCGTTCAGCTCCCCTGTTTAGCTTCCCCGTTCAGCTTCTTCGCCTCGTTCCGTTCGTCCCCAGTGAGCGGCATGGCATCCCCGGATGATCAGGTCACTATTGGGGTAAGTCATCACATCTTCACTGCGCCTTCCACGCTATGTTCTTTTTTTTTTTTTCCTTTTTTTTGCTTGTTCCACGTTGGTCTTGGGGTAGTTGCTGGGTGACGAAGCGGACGGCGTCTCACATTGTTCATTTTATTTTATTGCATTCCCATTTTTTTCTTTTTAAACGCGGCAATTTCGCATGAGAGGTCCCCGTCGCGACACCCAAGTGATCTCTTAACAATGACGTAGGTTTCTTAGTTACAAAAACAAGACGCCATGATGGGTAGGCTTTGAAAGTTGCTCCACGCATCCACGACATGGACACACAGTGAGAGGTGGAGGAAGACAAACAGAACACAAATGTAGAACAGGTGTGCCTTCACCAATTCGCCTGCACGAGTCAGACAACTTTGTTGCAAAAATGGGGCAGGCACAGGTCAGGGAAGAAGGATCCTACTCTCGTGCGAGCCCAGCGTGACCTTGGGAGGACATACCGACGGCGGATCCCCACAAGGGGAGAGGGACAAAAGGAAAGAAAAGGAGTAACGCAATTATGAACGCACGTATGATGGTCCGTTCAAAGGGGACAGCACAAGCAGTCGCAAAGAGGGTCACAAGAAAGGTCACCAATCTGTCACAAAACCGTCACACATATTTAAAATACAAAACAGTCGCTTTTGCCTGACCAAGCAGTCTTTTTCTACCATCGAGGGGGGTTAAAAAAATGGCGAAATCCTTCCATTCATCTTCCGCCATTTTAATGTGGGCCGTGTAGGTGATGTTGATTCCTTCATTTCTGACGTTGACCTCTCGGATTACTTTATTGCTTAAAATTAGTTTTACGTTACAGTAGTGGAAGTCTCGCACAGTGGCCGCCTTAAGGGGGAAAGGACGAAAGGGATGGGAGGACGTGAAACATATCATATAGGTATAGCGTGACCTACGCGACCACGGAAAGGGGTCCTTTCTTTTCCCCCATATCGCCTCTTATATGTTACCTTGTGGGAGACCAGCTGGCCTACGCACTTCAGGGACTCCACTTCAGAGGGGGCTCTTCCTTTGATCTGCGAAGAGGGGGGGGGGGTGGAGAGCCAATATGGAATGAGGCTTACTATACACGGGGAGAGGAGGGATGGCACCACAACTGGAGAAGGCACCATCTCGCCTATACTCACCGATCTGTACACGTAGGTCGAACTGCTAACATACGGGACTGCCACCGATGAAAAAACACGAGGAGGAGTTGGCAGATCCATCCGGTAGAAAACCTCCAAATAGATTTTCATGAAGGCCAAGATTTTTTTTTTATTCACCATGCCATCTTTAAAGAACTGATGATAAAGCTCCTTTATTTTCTGAACATGTTCATAGAAAAAGAACTTGCAAGCTGCCACTCTCCATAGGGTCATTACGTAGTCGAAGACGTCTGGAAAATTTTTCCCCTGTGTGTCTGTCATCTCTTTCGCGAAAATGTTGTTTCTCATCCTTCTGATTTTGCTCTTGTTTAGGTAAAAGTGCACCAGGTCGTGTAGTATGCAGCTGCCTATGTTGAACACGGCTCGCCGTCGCCCGCTTCGTTCGCCGTTCCGTCTGACGCTGCTCCGTTCGACGTTGCTCCCTTCACCGCTGCTCCGTTCGACGTTACTCCCTTCACCGCTGCTCCCTCCACCGCTACTTCCATTGCTGTCTGTACCGCTATCCACGGGAGGGGCTCTCAGCACGAAGGACGGACTGAGGAACAAAAAGGGGATTACCTTGTGCCGCAAGAAGGAGCACAGCACGAACGTGGACTTCAGGAAAACGACGTAAAGGAATAGGACCCTTTTGGACAGACCCGCGAATGAATGCCTGATTCCGGCAAGGGTCAGAATCCCCAGTGTAGTCTCCACCAGCGAAGTGATAATCCTTTCTATGTTACAGACAAAATAAGTGAGCGTGAAATTTATTTCATCCCGAATGTCACTCACCAGAGTTAGCAGATCTTCTACAGCTCGGTACATGTTTATTTGTACCTTCAAAAAAAAGCCAAAAAGAAAAAAGTTCTGTTGGAATATCCGTATCTCCTTCATGCACTGCTCAGAAATCAGTAAAAATTTTGTCGAACTTAAAAAAGTTTTCCAATCCCCATACGACTTCCTCCTCTTTCGACAAAAAAAGTTACAATAATTTAATAAAACTCTAAACCACAGCTTTACATCTCCACTATTCGCCACGACAAACAACTTCCCAAAGATAGAATAGCCATGTTTGTAAAATCCTGCACACATGCAATATTTACCTGACCTGTACAGGTAAAAAAGGGAATTTTCATTTTTTTTTAAATTGGCTACTTGGACATTTTCTTCGGATGCTACTTTTTCTTGGTGCTGTAACTTTCTGTACATTTTTTGCACTTTCCTTCGCAGGGACTTGTTCGACATGGACGAAATGGAGCTGCAATCGGATGGGTGGTCCCTCTCCGCCGAGCTGGGTTGGTCGTCTGATGAGGCGCACGTGGATGGGGGGGTGTCACTAGTACCGTTGCTATCGGTGCTATCTCTGCCACTGCTACTATACCTATCACCGCCACCACCGCTGCCCCTCCTGGGATGCGTCTCTTGATCAATTGCCGACTCGCCCGAATTACTCCCCTGTGGAAGACGCTGACCCGCTCCAGCCTCGCCACGGGTGTCACCCCAACCGACGCGTGGCCCTCCCCTCTGGTTTTCCTTCTCCCACACTTGGTTGCCATCACTTGGTGAATTTACCTGACCTGTACATATTTTTTTTTTTTTTTTTTTGGCGAGTCCCCCTGACGGCATGCCAAAATGGTGTGGCCTTCTCCTTAAACGAAAAAATATGATTTAAGATACTAAGAAAAACGTAAACCTTCCTTCGTAACGCCGCCGATACTTCTTGGCCCTTCCCGTAACTGACGAGGGCTAAATGAAACAGGTGTCTCACGTTGTGATAGCTAGCTGGGTGGTCATTCTCATGCTGGCAAATGTTGAAGGTTTGAAAAAATTTACTTCGCTTGAGAAAATAAACGCGGCGACCACCCTTAACGCGGCTAACGAGCGTATCGAAGGAAGTCTTTTTTTTTGTCTTTTTCGCCCCTTCTGTTACGCGGTTGGACGACATTCCATATTCCTCGTCTGCTTTTCCACGGGGGGAATAATCCCCTTTGGTCTCCTGACAATCTATCAGCAAATAAAAAAAGGGGTCCCTCAAAATGTGCACAATTTTTTCCGCACGGAGTGTAAAGAGGAGGTGGAAGAATGGAACAAACTCGTTGCTGCAAAATGAGTGGAAAAGGCAGTTCAGGAGGTGCCCATTTGTGCAATTCCCTAAGTTGGCGGCTACACTGAGCAGGCACGTCTGCATGGCACTTTTGAAAGCACCGCTTTGCTGATAGGAAGTGCAGTTGCCGCTTTCCCCAGGTGGATCTCTCAACCTGCGATGCAGCAGATCGCTTAAGAAGAGGTCAGAATTTGTCTCGTCGCGTGTTTCCAAGTCGGATGATGTAATGTGCCCTCCTATCCCCCTGACCGTGTATAGCCTATCATCATGGTTCAGGTCAGTCCCACTATGCGTGTATTTACTTCCCCTCCTGTAGTTAAAATTGGGCCTTCCTTCTATGTACGTACCTCTACTCATGCCGCTAACATTATTGCTCGTGTGACATGTCTCACCGATGAGTTCACTGTTTGCCACCCCATCCAAGTGGGTATCCACATTAGAGTCTCCCTTATTGTGCACAAAAATGTGGAAGAATGAATTTAACAGATGGACAAACTCCCTTACATCTTCATCGTATACAATATACTTCCCCAGAATAGTCAGCGTTTTAAAAATACACATTTTGATCGATACACTGTCAGAGCTGTGCCGGTTCAGGAAGAACAGCAGCCTTATAAACATTACTCTGTATAAGGTCGAATCATCTGGAATGTCTTCTCCCGATGGTGATCCCTCCCTTTCGTCGTGAACTTGGCCAAAATCATATGTCCTATTAACTCCTCTGCGGTCCCAAGGTCGGCTATATTTTTTTTTTTTTTTTTTTAAAAATGCCTTCTTAAACTGGGCAAAAAAAGACTCTCCAAATGTGAAGTCCTCTAATTTATCCTTACTCACAAAACTTTGAAGTCTTATTTTATTTTTCTTCAGCCATTTGTAGCAGTAGGGGAAGACATTTTTTTTTCGAATTTCCCCTTGTTTGTCTGTTTTAACCTGTGTGTACAATAAATCCCTTATGGTGTTCTTCTTGGGTGGACTGTTCTGACCGTTACTTATTTCGCTAATGGCATCACTTAGTGAGCTTTTTTCTGATTCCGCCATCGCCTGATCTCCAGTGTTGGGTTTGGGCTGCCTACTGTTGAGTAAGGTTCCGTCCTCCCTCTTCGGTGGAGGGTTACTTTCTCTTCTGGGATGGTGCGTTTTCACTCGTTCTCCCTCGGCCTGGTCAGTGCGTTCGTTGGCTGAGTGGGTCTCTCGTTCCGCCTCGGGATCCTCCTGCAGGGGGTGCTCCTCCAGCCGCTCCTCCTTCTGCTGCTCCCCCTGCTGCCGCTCCTCCCGGTGATGTTGCTCCCCCTTGTGCGGGCCCCCTCCTCCCCTTATCTTCAGCGTTATGTCCAGCTTTTTCACGTTAATGTCGCTTGCCTTTTCGTTCTCCTTCGCCAACTGGACAAACCTCTCAAAAAAGAGGTCCATCCTTCGCTGTCGAGTACGCCCGTCTGGCTTCGCCAATTTGGACATGCTCTCCTGTGGGAAGTGTTCCTCCGCGGTGTCGCATCCGTCACGTACACCGCCATCGTCGCTATCGTTACGATCGTCGCTCCCCCCGCTATCGCTCAACGTTATGGTGAAGCAGAATTGCCCCCTCTCTTCCCCACCCGTGCTGTCATTTTCGCAGCTGGATCTTTTTTTTTCCTCCCCTTGATTAGAATTTTCCTTATGGGGAGGACTGGCTAGCTGGTCTCCTCCGCTTCCTACCGGCAGGTGTTCCTTTTCCTCCATTGCATAATCGGGTGTAAACTTGTCATCCCATTTGGGGTAGCCATCCGGGTGGTACATCTCGATGGGGAGACTCTCCCTCAAGGTGCACACAAAGTTGTGAATGAACGGGTCGCGGTGCGCTCGACTCAAACTGGGTAAGATGTTCATTTGGAAGCGGTTTGGATGGTTACCCGCTGCGATGACTTCACCTGAGTTTTCTCCTTTGCAGTGATTAGCAAGGCGTGGCAAAATGGATCCCCCATTTCTTTCTGAACGGGTCAGGTAATTTTCCCCACTGGCTGCCTTAAAAAACTGGTAGACAATTTTCACAAACATGAAGAGGGCAGGGCTGTCGCCACGGCAGAGCGGCAGACGGTTTAGCCAGGCTACCACTTCATACTCTCTGATAGTGGACACGAAGGAGAAATAGGAAAAGTGGAAACTGCTCACCCGTTGGTCGAAGGAGTTTCTTTTCCCCGATATGTCATCCACAAATGGGAACACATGAATGCTTTTTTTTTTCATCAAAAATAGCAGACTTTTGAGAGCGAAATAGGTTAGCTGTCTTCTCTTCATCAAGGTCGTTTGTGGCACCATCAACAAAAATTTAATCGAAATGATTTGCAGATTTGTGAGGAACCCATTTTGATGGCTCAAAATAGTTGTGCTGTGAAAGTACGCACGGAGAATAGTTATGGCTGCTTCTTCACTGGCGCAGGGCTTTTCCTCTTCGCTGAACAGACTGTTAATCATTTTCCAAAGTTTTCTGAAAAGAAAATAACTTACGTAGGGGAACATGTCGTTCATTCTGTTGGCGATTTTTGCGAGGTACATACTTATGGTGAAAGTGAATGGGTTGTCGAGGATTGGCCCTTTTTTGGTTTCTCCAACGTGTAGCTTTGCTGTTTGGGTGTAGCTCTGTGTGTGACCTTGTGTGTGTCTCTGCTTTTCCGCTTGGTTCACTTCCCCATCGGTGCATCCGTCTGGAGGGGACCCCCCGACATCCCTTTGGCGGAGCTTCTCCGTGGAGGCCCCCCCAGTGGTGTGCTTCCCCGCTGTGGGGATTTCCCTCCTACTTGACCGCCCCACTGCGCTGTGGTAGAGGCCTCTCACCACGTGGTACAGAACATCGTGCGATAGGAAAGGAGTCCACTTTGTGAGGACGAGTAATGCCAAAGTAAATTCATCGAAATTTATTTTTTTAAAAATGATTCTCAAAACGATATGCACAAGGTGATTACATCCACTCAAGTGGTGACGAAAGAGGAGACAAAGTCTGAGTCCGTAGTTCCTTGTCAGTTTGTCTTCCCCATTGAGCAGATTAATAACATTCAGAGTTACGAAATCACTTATGAAGATGGCTTCATTTTTTCGAACGACGTAGGAATGATCTCGATGCTTCCCTTTTTGATAAGAATAAATGGGAAAGAAGAGATTCTCAATTTTCTGTGCATTTTTGGCTAGCTGGCAATAGACATAATTTTTTATACCCGAATGGGGACTCAACTTTATGACGTCGAGAAGGAGGACGATGCAGCTGTACGCGACTGTATCGCTAGTGATATTACTCTGTTCATTCTTCAGCAAAATGTGCTTAATGTTTTGTACATCAGTGGACGTTAGCAATTTTTTCTCTTCCACTTGATCGAAGTAAATCACATGAGACAAGAGAGCGATGTATTTGAAAAAGCTCGTTAATGTCGGGTTGGTGTTTTTTAAAATGTCCTTCACGTCGAAATATGTGTTGACGTAGTTCGGTTCCTCTAGGAAGAAGTAATTTGAGTAACTCAGAAATCCATATTTGTCTTCTTCATCCATTGAAGGGGTGCCCAACGGGGGGACGTTTGGGGGGCTCTCTCCCAGTTGGACATTCTTCTCATCCCCGCTCACCCCAGTGATGGGAGGAGGGATGCCCGAAGTGATGCCAGAAGTGATGCCAGAAGGGATGCCAGAAGGGATGCCCGAAGTCACGTCAGACGTAGCTGCCACGTCACCCAGCTCCAGCGGAGCTTCTCCACCGCCTCTAGAGGCACTCACCACTGAGTCTTCTCCCCCCTCCATTTGATGCCCCCCATATTGCAATGGCTGAACCATTTGGGAGCGCCCTCCAAACGTTTAACGTTTTTATACTTCTTTGGATTTTTGAATTTTCCAATTTTTGAATTTTCCAATTTTTCGATTTTCCAATTTTTCCATTTTCCAATTTTTCGATTTCCCCCTGTGCGTCTCCCCCAGTGGGCGAGGAGGAACCTTCCCCGTTGAGATGAATCGACTTCTGGCCCCCCCAAGAGGATAGACCTCCCAAAGAAGGAAAAAAAAACCTTCCTCTTGACAGGAAGGAACTCACGCAAATGCAAGTCGCGTGCGCTGTGAGTGCTCACTTGGCCGCTGCTCTGCCAGCTTCACAAAGGGAGAGTGGTCCCTTCCTTTTTCTCCCAGGGGCGGCGCTGCCTCTATGATGCCCTGTCCGGGCTCCCACATGAGGGAAGCGGACGATGCGGATTATGCGGATGATGCGGATGATGCGGACGATGCGGATGATGCGGACGATGCGGATGATGCGGACGATGCGGATGATGCGGACGATGCGGATGATGCGGATGATGCGGGTGATGTGGATGATGCAGATGGTGTAGACGATGCAGACGAAGCAGGAGAAAGGGAACCCCCCGGGGAACTCCACTCTCGACGTGCCGAGCAGCTCGAAAAAAAAAAAAAAAAAATCCCCCACTTGGTACTATGCTCTCCCTAAGTGGATGCACATGAGAAAAGTACATAGAGCGATCAGGTGTGGAGAAAAAAATATCCTATTGGAGAGTCCTCATCGGGCCGCTGTCCTGTTGCGCCCTCTTATCTTTGTATATAGTGCTGATTTGGGAGTCCGTGGGTCGTTTGCTCTGCTTGGGCGGTTAAGCGGAAGGAAAGGGGCGATCATGGCAGGAGCATTCACCTCAGTGTCGATCGCCCGCCGCTTTCCTTCCGCTTAACCGCCGCTGCCATGCCCGGAAGATAAATGAGCGGCCCTTTTCCCCGGGAGTCGCCTCTCCCCCTCCCCCCTGCAGCGGAGATGCAGAAGAGGGCCTACAGCGAATCGGGGGCCCTGTCGAAGATAGCGCAGCGTGAGAAACGGAGGGGAAAAAACGGAAAAGAGAAAATTAACATGGGAGAGGAATGATATCAACCAGGGGGACCATATGAGAAAAAAGCCAAATGAAGTGAATCCCCCATGCGCAAGTGCACCTGGCCCGCTCCGCTTCCTCTGCATGGTGGCCTCGGCCTCGTCGTCGGTGCAACCTGGACGGATCAAAAAAAGAAAAAAAATAATAAAAAATAAAAAAATAGAATAGAATAAATTAGAATAGAATAAATAAATAAAATGGCTTAGCTGAACTCTTGTCAATAGGCATCCCCTTAGGGGACAGGGCCAGGAGAGGGTCCCCCCGCCACCACCACAACCACCCTCCCAGATGGGGAAACCCTCTTCTAGGGAGGAATGAGAAAGAATAGACCCGAATGTGTACTTATTACTGGTTGCACAGTATAAGGCTAACTTACCCCGTCTCACTTCTATCCCGTCACACACCTTCCCTTGTAGGGGGAGAGCGGGAGAAGGGCCTCAATACTGAGTCGAGTCGTCCAGATGACGCACGGACACACAAACTGCAAAGCGTCGTTGTACGCATAAAAAAACTGGAGGAGAAGGAAAAACCAACTCTACACACAGACCCAAAAGATAAGACAATTCTCTACTTCGACAAAGATTTCGAAATTGAGCAGTATCATTTTGACATGGTATTCGATGGAGACGATGACAATGAGAAAGTCTTTCTCGAAATAGGAGGACACACGATTATTCATAATGTCTGTAGAGGATTTAAAGAGACTATCATTGCTTATGGACAGACTGGAAGTGGAAAAACGTATACTCTCTTCGGATCGAATGAACAATTAGGGATAATCCACCATTTCCTGCATCACTTGTATCGAGTCAAGTGCAATGAGCTGAGAAATAAAACGATATATTTGAGTCTGTTTGAAGTTATTGGAGATAGGCTTGTCGATCTCATGACAAATGTCAGCGACAGGAACGCTCCGTTCTACACACAGGATTATTATTTGAAGACGATAAGGCACTCCTACAAGGTGGTGAACATCTCGAGCTTCGAGATGGCCAAGAAGATTATCGACACTGCCTGTCTGATGCGCAACGTGGAGGCCACCTCGCAGAATAGGAGGTCGGTTCGGCAGCGAAGCGGCCAAGCGGCCAAGCGGCGGAGTGACGGAGCGGTGGAGCGGCGACGCATCGGTCTAATGTACCCATTTAGCGCATCGGGTTAGCAGCTCACTCGACCGCCTCCCCCCTTCCCGCTTCTCTCTTCCCCCGCGCCAGGTCGAGTCGCTCCCACGCCATCATCCAGCTGTTCGTCAACATGTCCGATTTCACTCACCACGACGGAATGGAGACAACCCGAGACTACTACGGCGTCCTGACCTTCGTCGATTTGGTGGGCTGCGAGAGGGAGGAATTCAACACACAAGGGAGCCAAAACAGGAACGAGAAAACGTCGACGAAGTTTCTAAACTCCTCCCTCACCTCGCTCAACAAGATGCTTCGAAAGATGCAGGTAAGAGGGGTGGCAGCCTAAGGTCTGAAGCTGCGGTAAGGCAGCTCACCGGTATGCTTCTCCCTATGCCATCCCCTCGCCGCTTCCCCTCACAGATGGGAAACCTGGACGAGTCGGACAAAAGGCAAAGCGTCCTCTGCAAAGTTCTATTCAATTACATCAGGAAGACCTGCGGCGTGTGTCTCATCTTTTGCTTCAACCCGAGGCAATGCCAGAAGAGCGTGCGTAAATGAGGAGGAGGAGGGGGAGGAACGGGAAGGGGTGACATTCCATCGCCCCTTTCACGCGACTCTCCACGGGTGCACTGCGGAGCCACTGCGACACTGCCACTGCCACACCGCCGCTATCACAACTCCGCTACAAAAAAGGCACGTCGGTTTCTCCCCCTCCCCCCGCAGCTAACCAGCTCCACGCTCATCATGGCGAGCGACTGCAAAAAGATTAAAAACAAAAGGAAGCAGCTGATTTATGTGAAAACGGAAAACAGGGATCCCTTCTTTAAAGGAATGACCCACGGAAGGTATGGAAAGAACAACGGGCGAGGTGCAAGTCGAAATGGGGAGAGTCCCTTCTCAGGGGAATCCCCGTCCAGGACGAGCAGGAGGGATTCGTCAAAGGGGACATGGACTGGGAAAGAGGCAGAGGTGGGGGAAGAGGCGGGGAAACATGCAGGACAAGGCGTAGACGGAGCAGCTTCGAACAGCAACACGATCGCCGCAGACACCACGATGGGAGGCGACACCACGTTGGTTCTTCTTCACACCGGCGACGTAAGGGGGCACCAGAACGGCACGCACATCTTAACGTTCCGAAATGGGGACGACAAGCAGGAAGCACTTAAAAAACTGGTATGCGAATTGGTTAACCTAAATAAGGAGGAGGAAAAGAAAAAGGAGAAAACGATTCACCAGCTGCGGAGCCATGTCGATAAGCTAACCAAGGAGTGTTCCCACTGGAAGAGGCAGGCACACAACTATCACAACAAGTTAATATTGCTAAATAAAAACTACACCAAAATTAGAGAACTCTTATTTAGCACGCTGCACAGTGGTGGGAACGACATTTCGATAGGGACATTCGGCTCATCCACATCGTGTCATTCGTTTGTCCATCCCGATGAGGACAACTCTCCCCTTGGTGGAAATACACACGCAAAGGGGAATCAGCACGTTATGAGGGAACCACTCCACTGGGAGAAAAAAGAAGTCACTGAAAAGTATGATACACTTAGGGGGGACGATGTACAAACGGAGGGGGGAATCGCCACCTCGTACCAGAAAAAACATTACGGTGTGCCCTCCAGCCAGGCAAGAAACCAGAGTGGTGTCTCCAAAGGGATGGAATCTTTTATTGTATCAAGGGTTCAGGGAAGGAAAGAGGAGCACAACGGTGGCTACTCCCATCACGTGGAGGATGGAAGCACACAGAGGCAGGCAAGTACATACAGACAGGGAAGCACACAGAGGCAGGGAAGCACACAGAGGCAGGGAAGCACACAGAGGCAGGGAAGTACACAGAGAGAGGGAAGTACACAGAGAGAGGGAAGCACACATAGACAGGGAAGTACTTACAGACAGGGAAGTACACAGAGAGAGGGAAGCACACATAGACAGGGAAGCCACTCAGGGGTGGGGGCATCATCCACGTACACACCGTCGGGATGTAATAAAAGGGATGCTTCCGAATCGGACATTGTCGGCCGGAATGAGCAGGCCATTATAAAGGGCAGCAGTTGGGCGAAGGTACCAACAGGAGGAACTCAATTGGAGCCCAAGAGGGACGTCACGAATGGCAGCCAAATCACCATCGACTCGCTCACAACAAAAATACGGAATAGAATTTTGAAGTCAAGGAGCCTGTCCACGGCGGGGTGAGGGGTGGCCGGCCTGCACATCCAGTATAGTGTACGTTCCAGTCCGCCGTACGCGCTTGTTTGTGTTTTTTGCTCAACCGCTGAACCACTCCACCGCTCATCCACCGTTGTTTGTCACTTTTCTCCTCGAAACTTCCGTCACAGCAAATCATTTCACGCCAGTCCACGTGCATACACGAACGGCACGAATGTCGCATCGATATGCAACCCCGCCCACCGGGGGGAGAAAAACAGGACCTGCGCGCGGCAACCATTGCGACGAACATTGCGATTACCATTGCGATTACCATTTTATCGACCCTTCATTTGTGCATCTGCACTCTATGGTGAGGGAGCGGACTCTCTTCATCGGTTCTTTCCCCCCACTCTCCTATACCCAGCAGCCGCCAACGACGTTGATATCACTTTCGCGACATAAATGGAACAACGGCAACGAACAGAGGATCGATGCTGCATAGGAGCTGAACGAACCAAATGGGTGGGACACCCCACAGCAACAGCAGCAGTAACAGTAACAAATGAATAGGTGCTCAATCATCAGGCAGGTTAAAAAAGCGACAGGTTAGGGGCAGCAACAGAAAAAGGGAGAAAGTTCAATGGGGTCACTGACGCGAATGCGTCTCTTCCCTTAAAAAAAAAAAAAAGCAGTAGCACAGGCGGAAAAAAAAAAAAAAAAAAAAAAAACTTAAATGCATAACTACCCCCCCCGCCCTATACACACACAGCCATCAATCGCTCAAAGTACAATACTTCTCTTCTTTTTTTTATGGCAACGTGGCGGACAGTGGCAGGCGAAATTTGATCGATCATTTGGGTCACCATAACATACCATTTTGCGAAACGATTCGCGATGGTGTGAACTTTGCCACCTAGCCGCTTCACTAACGCTGATGCTTATTTTGTCAATTCAAATTATCTGTGGTATATTTTTTTTATTCTTTATTTTATATTTTTTTTTATATTTTTTTTATATTTTTTTTTCATTATTGCGCGCAGCAGGGGAGCCCCTCCACCACGCCGCTGTTATTTTATGTCACCTTGAGACTCCCACTTGGGATTGAATTTTTTTTTTTTTTGCGACCATGCTCTTGTTGCGAACTTGCGAGTTCTCTGTTTGCCTCTTGCTTCACGATTTGCTTGGTTTTATGCTTTTTTTTTTTTTTTTTTTTTTTCCTTTTGCCGTTTGTGGTTCTTTTTTTGCTTTCCGATTGGCTGACCGGTGAATGGCGCCAATTCGGCCGCAGATGTTGACACCGTAGCGCAGATTATGAAGCAAACGAATCGTCCCTGTTTGCATGCTTCCTCTCAGTAGGCACTTTGATCTCTCTTTTTTTATATGTTCCTTTTTAACCTCTTCATGTCCCGCTTTGAGTTTTTCCATCCCCCCGTACCATAGCCCTTCGGCCACCCGGCCTTCCCTTTTACTATAAATGATTTGATGAGACGTTCATTCTGAAGGGCTCCCTTCGCTTTACCCACACACGGACGCACTCGCACACACGCATATACATACCTGTTCTTTATTGCCCTTTTTTCTCGTTCTCTTATCCTCTTCCACACCCGATTGCTCCCATTCCCATTTTCTTCGCTTTATTTTCCTCCCCAAGGGGAAGTGGAGCAGCTAATCTCAGGTGAAGGACACAACATCGCTGACTCGTGACAGCTGCGTCGGTGCGAGGTCCTCTTAAGGGGGGGGGGCAGTTCCTCGGAAGAGTCCTCGCCAGTGGGTGATTGGCCCCGCATATACACACAGATGCGTAAACACTCTACATAGTGACCCATTTAGCGGCACTGTTCCCTGACCCCCTCAACAGAGAGAGGCACACAGTGAGAGGCACACAGTGAGAGGTACACAGTGAGACCTACACAGGGAGACCCCCCCCATTGAGACCTCCCTAAGTAAGCCATGTCGAACTGGGGCTTCTTCGGCGACTACGGGAGCTGGTTCACCGCCCCCAGCAACCAAGTCACCACAACAAACGGGGGGACGCCAAATGTAGGGACGAATGTACCGGCGAACATGCCGCCGAACATGCCACCGAACATGCCACCGAACATGCCACCGAACATGCCACCGAACATGCCGCCGAACATGCCACCGAACATGCCGCCGAACATGCCGCCGAACCTCGCGGAAGCCACAGCGAACAGACCCCCTGCGCAGGCATTTTTCGAGGATAGCTTAGACCCCCGGATTAGGGACGGAACAAGGAGTAGTGCGAGCAGCGGAGAGAACTCTCATGATAAAAATCGCCATAAATACAAATTCAAGCACAACAAACAGTACAGGTCAGATGAAAGAGAGTGGAGTGGAGTGATTGATGATGGAGGTAGACATCGCAGCAGTAGTAGTGGGAGAAGAGGGCCCGGAAGTGATCACAGCAGCAGGGGTGGCAGAGAAAAATACACGGATATGAAGGGAAATAGGCAGGAGGAAATGAGTAGAGGTAACAGTTGGAGAGAGTCTGGGTTAAGCGGCCATCCGAGGGGCGCCTCCCCGATGGGAGGTCATCCGAGGGGCGCCTCTCCGATGGGATCTCATCCGACTGGTCCCCCCCCAAGGGTCGCTTCCCCGATGGGAGGTCATCCGACTGGTCCCCCCCCAAGGGTCGCTTCCCCGATGGGAGGTCATCCGAGTGGAAGCGGCGAACATAGCAGCGGATTCTTTAGCAACCTCGGATTGGGCAATCTCTTCTCCAACATTGAAAGTGCACCAATTTGCAACGAATACAAGACAGGTTATTTCTTAGACGAGGAAGCAAAGAAGATCCTCGGGAAGGATGGAGATTCTGCCAATAAATCCTCTTCCAAAAGGGGAAGCAAATTTGGAGTAGGCTTGGATGGCACAGGGATGTTTAGCAGCGCTCCTACTGGTGCAGCCACGGATGCAAGTGGTGCCCCGGAGGGAACACCCGTATGTGTGGATACAACATATTATGACATTCTAAATGTTAAACCCACTGCCACGTCAAGTGAGATTAAATCGAGTTACTACAAATTAGCCCTGAAGTGGCATCCAGATAAAAATTCTGATGATCCTGAAGCCAAGTTGAAGTTTCAAAAAATTAACGAAGCATACCAGGTGTTAAGTGACTCAGAAAGGAGAGCAGATTATAACAGACATGGACTGAATGCAACGAAGGGTATGGTTCTTATCGATCCAGCTCTGTTATTTATGATGCTATACAGCTCAGATGAGTTGTCCGATTATATAGGTACCTTACGTGTGGCATTTTTTATCAAATTAGCATTCGAGAGTAACAGCTCTATTGAAGATATTAATATGCAGAGAGGGAAGATGTTCTCCGAAATGGAAGTAGAGCAATCCAAGAGGGAAGTCGAGTTGGCTCTCCTTCTAAGAGAGAGGTTACAACCATATGTCGATGGGGATGTAAAATGGGCAGAGAGAATGGAAAAAGAGATCACCGATTTGCTGGACTCCTCATTTTCAAGCTCCATTTTAGAATCCATTGGATGGACTTATCGTAATAGTGCTTCTTCGTTCATTGCTGAAGTGACGACTCTGTGGGGTATTGGAGCTGCTGTCCCGAATATACAGGCTCATACACGATCAGTTCAGAACAACTTTGGGCTAGCAACATCCATCATTAGTACCTTCTTCACGATGCAGAGGATGGCTTCTTTGAACGAAAGGTATGGCAACTCGGACGGCGTCGAGTGGAGAGGGGACACCAAGATCACCGCAGAGGGGAAAGACAGCCTTGGGGAGAGTAACACTCAGAAGGAGGGTCCAGACGGGGGTGGAAGGGGGAACTTGAGTGACAACTACGGTGGAGGGTATCCCAGTGGGGCCTATCCGAGTGGAGCCAATCCGAGTGCAGGCAATTCCAGTGCAGGCCCTCCCAGTGCAGGCCATCCCAGTGCAGGCCATCCCAGTGGTGGCAATCCCAGTCCAGGCTATCCCAATGCAGGCTATCCCAATGCAGGTTATCCCAGTGCAGGCTATCCCAGTCCAGGCTATCCCAGTGCAGGCCATCCCAGTCCAGGCTATCCCAGTGCAGGCCATCCCAGTCCAGGCTATCCCAGTGCAGGCTATCCCAGTGCAGGCTATCCCAGTGCAGGCTATTCCAGTAGGAGCCATTCCAGTGGGAGCCATTCCAGTGGGAGCCATTCCAGCGGTAACTCCAATCGGGGAAAGTTCAGCCATAAAGTTGGCGACAAGTTTAGCAATCTGTTTGGAGAGAAGCGGAAGGAAAAGAGAAGACACAAGAATAGGCACAAGGAGGGGGCGATCTCTTCAGGAGTGCCGGGTGTTGGCGGCGTTGGTGGTGCTCGCGGCTTTGGTGGCGCTCACGCCTTTGGCGGGGCTGCTGAAGCGGCGGGGCCAGCGCATCCCCGGAGCAGCAGCAGGGAGGCGATGCGCTGCGGCATTCCTCAACCGCAGCAGACGCATGATAATAACCCCTGGCGACCAATGCCAGATCGAAACAGACAAATGGATCGCCAAGCCAGCCTCGAGAAGAAGAGCAAGGAAGCGTTCGGCATCATTATAAGAAACGTGCTGAAGGTGGTCCTGTGGGATATAGAGTGCACCGTGAGGAAGGTGGCGGAAAAGGTCCTGCGCGATGAAGGGGTATCAATCAAAATAAGGTTGCAAAGAGCCAAGGCGTTAAAAATATTGGGGAAGATCATGCTGAGGGTATCCAAGACAAAGAAAGATATGAGCGACTCAAACGAATTCGACGTGAACAAGCTTTTCGAGTCAATCATTTTGAAGGCCGTGGAGAAGGCGGCGGCGGAGGAGGCCGCGTCGAGAGGCGAGCACGAGAGCGTCTTTAAGCGGGAGGCCCCTTAGCAGTAGGAGACGCGGAGATCACTACACCGGGTTTGCAAAATCGGCTGCATTTTGCGAAGTCTCCGTTTAAATTTTTTGTGAGAAAACATTATATATGGAAGGCGAAGTGGTCCCTTTGGGTAAGGTAGCAGACCCTCGCCGCCATGCAGAAAGACAAAGAAAAAAAAAAAACTGGAAAGGAAACCTTGCCAGTGGGTTTATTTGCACCAGTTGGGGTTCCTCCCATAGAAGCGGTTGCCGAAGAGCAGCTACAGAGACATACACATACAACTGCGCGTGTCAGACGTGCACACAGTGGTGTGAGCTGCTCTCACCAGGACCTCCAGCGACGGATGGCAATCTCAGCATGACAGTATCGGGATGGCATGCCACGCCACCTCTTGCCATTTCGGAAAGCCTTCATTTTTTTTTTAAGCCTGAGGTCTTCATTCCTCGTCCAAGGAGAGGAAGCCTAATCCGAATTATTTTTTTTTTTTTTTTTTCCTTTTTAGGATGTGTTTTTTCTTCCCGTGCGATACTTCGCACCCATTTTGTGCCTAACTATAGGAATGTTACCATTTGTGTGTTTTTCGTGTGGATCATTTTTTTCTTCTCTCTAGAGATACATGTTTTTTTGCATCCCCTATTGTGTTTTTTCATTTTCCATATCTGCTTCGCTGTTCTTCCCGTGTGACCAATTTTTTTCACTTTTTTTCCCGAGGCGTAGCAACAGTGTAAGTCGCTGCTTGTGCGAGGTGTGTGCCGCGGCGACGTCGGGAAATCTTATTGCGGCGTTGAGTCGTTGAGCCGTTCAGCCGTTCAGCCGTTGCGTCACTATAGCACTACCGCATTGCCTCTTCTTTTTTTTTCTCTCTCTCCATAGATGCGTAATTTTTTATGAAACATATCCAAGCCGCTGTGCGTTGGGCAGCGTGCCGGTGTGCCTCCTTGCGCTACTTCGCTTCCTCCATCAGCGCGCGCAGGTCCCGCAGGAAGGGCTCCGGCTGCGGGGCGGGGAAGGGCGCGAACGCGGGCGTCTGCAGGCACCGCAGCACTCGCGCCGGAAGATCCATCAAGCATTCACATACCTCCAAGTAATTGAGCGAATGTAAAAATCTTGCAAACGCCAGCTGATGATTATCCTTTAATTTGTCATTTACCACGATTAGCATTTTCTTCTTCATGCGTAACCCTTCGATGGTGGTGCCTGATCCGGCATGACTTAAAATGAGGTCAGCCTTTTGAAGATCCTTTTGTAGGTCCTTTTTGTATCGAAAGAATTTCACTCGCGTAAGGAAGTCCTCCTTATTTCTGCTATGTCTGTAGGTTAACTTCGGTTCGTAGGTGCCCTCACCTATCTGCATGGTCATTTTGGCGAAGCCTTGACGTCGGAGAAAGATGTGGAAATCCTTCGTGTCGATCTGCTTTATTAGATCATCGAATTTGTGCGACCCTACTGTGACAAACAGGATTTTGTTTCCTCCGTCTTTTGCTCCCTCCATTTTGGGTTTGTTCCTCTTTGGGGCCACATTACACCTAGGCCTCATACACTCCTCCTGCCGCCCCCTTTAGAAGGTTTCTTCCCAGAGAGGGGTGCCACCAATTTGTACTCTTGCGCGGTGTTCAGTGAAGGAAGGGAGGGGTAGGAAAAAAAAAAGAAAAAAAAAAAAAAGAAAAAGAACGTCCCCACTTGGGGCATATATAAAACGGGGGAGAGATCTTCCGATGGCATCAGCTCATCAGAAGGTACACCCATAAGGAGGGTCCCCCGTCACAGGGTTCTGGGGTGTCTTTGTTAGGGGGGCTACTTGTTCGAGCTCCCGCCAGGAAATACAAACGCGTAATTCAGCGTCAGGAGAGTATGCATTCCACACAACTGCCTGTTGATTCGTTTTATTAGAAAGAAAAAGGGTTGCACAGTCCATGTTGTTCTTCTCATGATTCCTCGCATGAACGTTTGATCCGCTCCGCCCCCCCCTTCGCATCATACACAAACTGCACATGTGCTCAAGTGTGGCCGCTTCTCCGGGGAAGCACAAACCCCATGTGAACACCTGCATGCATTCCCAAATGGCATAGACGGTTTCGTCTGTTGGGGTGGGGGACTACTTCTTTGGGAAGGGCCGGGGACATACCTTTGCTGGGTCTCGAATTACACAGTGGGGACCCCGCGATGTGTGAGGAGTTTCTCAACTGGTTATCTTCCCCCGCATGAGTCCCTTTTTAACTGCCATATTTGGCACATTTGCACATTGGCCATATTTTCCATTTTTCATCATCATGCTTTTATTTTATTGTATCTTTTTCTTTTTTTTTAAGCAGTCATTTCTGAGCAGCTGTGCACAATTTGCCTTTTTCGCCTGAACAACTTGGCTATTTTGTTAAAAAAAAAAAATCCCCCGAAAGGGTCTTTTTCGCCTCCACGTTCAGAAAAAAGGGGAGCAACGAAGCGGGGTAGCATCGAAGCAACGAAGCGACGAAGAAGCAGAGAAGCAACACACAATGGGAAGAACATTGAGGTAGATGGGAGTACCCCTTCCGATCAAACTAGCCTAAAGGAAGGGGCCGCCCTGGGGAGGAAGGTCCCCGAAGGAAGGTGGACAACCGTGATAGGGACAATTGCACGTGGGACAACTGCACGGTGACCGTCCCCTTTCCCACGATGCAACTCGCACGGCGACCACTCCACTGGGCTGAGCATGCCGAGTTTGCCGCGAATATCAACCCCCCCCTCCCCGCCGCTTCCCCAAAATGAACTTCGCAAAGAAGACGCAGTACAACATCAAGGTGGACATCCACGAAGTGAAGGATCTGAGCTTCCGCGAGAGCGCAAACGAAAAGGAGATCATCCCAAACCCCTACGTCCAAGTCACAGTCAATAATGAAAGCAAATGCACGCCGAAGAAAAATCAAGCAGTGAACGTGGAATATAATACGTCTTTCAATTTTTCGATGGATTTGACTGATTACCATTTTCAGCGAACCAGTATAGACGTGTGTGTGTTTCACAAATACACAATACAGAGTGCCCTTATTGGAAAATGCTCCTTCGGATTAAATTACGTTTACTCGAAAGTGCAGCACTGGCTGTATAGGATTTGGGTTAAGTTAAGAAACCCAGACTTACCCCTCGACGAAGTGGGATTTCTGCTCATTTCCGTGGGGGTGTATGGTCCCGGGGATGCCATTCCAATCATCAATGATAGTGTGAAGACAAACATAAGTGACTCTGTGAGTAGGTCAAATGCTGCTGGATTGGCAGCAGGAGGTGATTCTGCTCCCGCTGCTGAAGGAGGAGAAGAGGATGACAACACCGAGTTCGGGGCGAACAAAGGGCTCGACATACACATCACACACTATGACCTATGTGTGAACATCTTCCGGGGACAGGACATGGATTTTATCGGCAGCAGTATGTTATTTTCCAACACATTGGAGCCCTATGTGAAGGTAACGCACAACGGGTTCGAGGAGAGTACCAAAGTGATTAGAAATGACCCAAACCCTGTGTGGAATCTGAGCGTACACATCCCAACGTGCACTCCATGTTACGATAAAAATATAATCATCGAGCTGGTGAATGGAGAACATAATGGGGTAGTCATGCTGAGCGTTTTGCTAGACTTGTTTGACATTCTAAAAAGGGAACTGCACCCAAGATGGTATAACATATATTACAATCCGCAGAACCAGATTGCCCCGAGAAATAGTCTATATAATCAGAACGTTAGTGCTAATGCACCTGGTGTGACTCAGACTGGTAATGCCCCGACATCGGCTAATGCACTAGGGAATTATCTCTTCTCAGCCACGGCGGAAAAGTTATTCAAAAATGCAACACAAGGAATCAATATTAATGAAATTTTGGGAGTAACCAAAATGCAGAATATGTTTTCCTACGACGACAATCTGAAGGAGTTTTATCTCTACGGAGGAAGAATCTTCCTCAGTGTAAGTGCCACCAAAACGCATGCACCAGGACCTATACGGATAAAGTCAGCTAGAGTAGAACCAGACCCACCGAATAAGGAGTTCATTTTTTGCGCCGACATTTATCAGATATTGTCTGTACGGAGTAGTCACAACAAGGGGGGAAACTATAACTCAGAGAATATCCAAGGAGGGTATAACAAAACGTATGATGGGAATGGAGACAGCATCGTATGTGTTTGTGGATTGGGCCCACATAAACTGAAAACGTCTGTACTTCTACCAAACGAAGTAGGGTCCTACGTCCTGAATGAGAGTACAGGACGGATAAATGAATTTCGAATCTTCTTACCACAGAGCAATACCGATCAGATATATGACATCTTCCTCTACATTTACGTCAAATCGAACCTTGCCGTGACGGATTGGATAACTAGCCGCAGGAGTGTCTACAATGCATCTGGTGGGGGAGGAATACATAACAATAGAGACTTATACGACACAGGGGATGTAAAAAACGGTATGAAATTAAATCATATGAGTTCCATAAATAAGCAGTCAGAAGATCCTTTCAATGACTCCGATCTTATGAGCAATTATAAGCTAAAGAGTTATGTACGCATCCCTTTTAAGTACCTCCTACTTAATGAGAACAAGCCCAAATGGTTCTCCATGAAAAATGTGGACACTAATTCCCTTGATTATAGCATCTCGTTTTATGCCAGCCTGGTTCCATTTCATCTTTTTAAGAAAAGGCAGCAACGATTGGAATACAAACTGTGTAGGTATTTCTTCCGGGCGTTAATCTACGAAGGGTTACATTTCCCTGCAAAGGGGTACGACTCCTTTCCAGATCCGTACATAAAGGTTGAATTGGCAGGACAGACGATAAAGACAAGCACGATCTTGCACACACTGAATCCGAATTACTACGAAGCGTATGAGGTAGAAGTGATTCTCCCTACAAATTTGAACCTCGCTCCGGACATATCGATTGAGGCCTTCTCTGTTAATAAGACGTTCCTCTATAACGATGACGACATACTGCTAGGTTCTTGTACTTACCCGATTATGAAGGTCCCCATAGAGTGGAAGCGCTCTCCTGTTTGGGTAAACCTGAAATCGTCTCAGTATAAAAAATGCAAAGCGAAGCTTTTGGTCGGGTTTGAATTAGTCCCCTTGGAACGGGTTCTAGATGACAGTTACCCTTTTTATGATGATATCAGACCTTCTACTTTGCCAGGACACGTGTCTCTGTTCCTTGTTGGCATACGTATGTTCAAACCGTTAAAGAACCCCTCCGTGACTGTCTGTTTCGGGAGAGACGTGGACGACACATCTCAGTTTCTTTGGCACGAAACGGTTAGTAAAGTAATATCGGGGAAGGAAGGCAACTGGAATTTTCTAAAATACTTCTCACTCGATGTTGCCTTGCCAAAGCGGATGCAACATCATAGTTTTCTCGAAGTACGTGTGGAGGACAGAGAAGCAACTACTGGGTTCACTTCCACCGGAGGGAATGCCTCCCAGTCAGCCAAGGCAACCAACAATAACAACTTAATCGGCACGGCGTACATCACGCTGAACCCGTTACTTCCTTGGCTAGACAAGTATGAGAAGAAGGAGTGCGTCGAATTATTTAAGTTACATCTATTGGAGGAGGTTCTAATGGAAGATGCGGAACGGGCACGTAAACCTTACAACAGTGCTCTGGTGTATAAGAAGAGCTCCATGGCTTCGAGGAAAATCACGAATAGGCTATTTGACTGTGAGGGAGGAGAAGGAGGAGGTGGCACAGATGATGAGGGGCACGGAGACGGAGGGGCCCGAGGAGGGGGGTTCCACGCTTTGTCTTTGAATATGCTGGAGGAGGGCGCCTCCGAGGCGGGCGACACACGGGCAGATGACGAGGTCGTCACGGAGGCGGCGATGGAGGCGACCATCGAGCTGGGCGGGCCGGGCTTCGACCCTGAGGAGGAGGAAGAAACCCTCCGAACGGGGAACCCCGCCTGGGAGGACGATCTGGATCATGGCGATGGGGCGACGGGGGGGAAGAAGCAAGACGGTAAGATGCAAGACGGTAAGAAGCAAGACGGCAAGAAGCAAGACAGTAAGAAGCAAGACAATAAGAAGCAAGACAACAATAACGCAGAGAAGAACCATGGGACCTCCGCGCAGCCCCACCTCAGCAGGAAGAAAAAGAAGAACATGAGCAAATTCCCCAACACGGAGTACGTACCTTATAATGACCCCGATTTCGCAAACGTGCGGATAGAGGAGGCACTGGAGCACGTGTGTTTCAAGGCTAGCGAATACACGAGCGATCCAGCTGTCACTGTGGAGGAGAATCAGCATGGCGAAAACGACAGTAACGCGAGCCAAAGGAAGATAAAGTTAAGAGACGTGAACTTCTTCAAAGGGAAAAACTACGAAGAAGGGAAGGAAAAAAAGAACCAACATGAGAGTAAAAAAAAAGAGAAAAAAACGATTCATGGGTTCAGCGAAGACGCACTAAACTTCCAGTTATCGATAGCTGGAGATGATGAACAAGAAGAAATACAGAGGGATGAGATGTTATACGAATATGAAGTGGATATGAATGTGGATGATTTACCTTACCTACGAGCAACCATATTTAGATGCACCGATTCGGGCATTCCAGAAGCAGTAGGGTATCTCAAATATCTGTGTAATGTGTATGATGACAATACTATTCACCTGAAAAAGGAGATGTTGAAAAAATGCGAAAATCTGGTTAGTGAATACAAGATGACTCGTAATTTAGTTGTTCGAGCTTATATCATCCAAGCGAGAGGGTTGAATCCTCCATCTGGAGCAACAGACATAACGACCTACGTTTGGATAAAGAATAGCAACGAGATTACTAATATCCCTGGAGGGTTGTCTCATAACATTAAAGACATAGGGCATATTAAAAGACAAGGGTACAAGCCGGAATTTAATAGGTCCTACCAGCTTCTGTGTTCTTTTCCAGATGAATCCATCATCCAGGTGTGTATCATGAATCAGGGTTCTATCTCAGATGAGGTGATCGGTTACACGTATATCGATATGGAAGACAGATACTTCAATCCCAGGATAAGACAGCTCATGATGGATGATAACATGCCCATCGAGTTAAGATCGTTGAAGTTAGAAAATAGTACCATCTCTCATGGATCGTTAAGATGCTGGTTTGAGATTTTCACCGAAGAGTTTGCTCAAAGGAATCCAGTAAAGATTCTATGCTCCAATGAGCCCGATGATTATCAGCTCAGGCTAGTCATCTGGAAGGTCAACAATGTTGCCATGGATGATAGTCCCACCATTAGCCTCTTCGTTAGATGCATATACACAGATGAAGATACAGAAGATAAGAGAGACACAGACACACACTACAATAGCAAGGATGGCAAGGGTGTCTTCAATTGGCGATTTGTCTACAATGTGAAGATACCTACTAATGCCACTAACATCAAGGTGCAGGTGCATAACTACGCCCTGCTGTCTTCCAGTGAGCCCATCGGCGAGGCCACGCTCAACCTGGCTGCGCCCTTTTATCGCGCCAGGAAGAAGCGCGGCCTCTACCACATCCCGAGGTAGGTGCAGAGGGGAAGCGGCCACACACCAGTTATGAAAACACCCCTTACCCACCCTTTGTAACTGCTTAGCACATAACCCCGACGCCTATCGCCCCCTATCCCCCCGACCAGGTTCTGGCTGCAGTGCAAGCACCCCGCCCACAAGAACAAGGTGCGCGGCAGCGTCGAGGTCGAGGCGTGCATTCTGCCCAGGGCGGAGGCGGAGGTCGACCCCGTCGGAAACGGCCGGGACGAACCCAACAAGGATCCCTTCCTCCCCCCCGTCACGGAGAACAGGACGTACGTCGATTGGGTCACCATCAACGAGAAGTTCGGAGCCGCCACGGCGTCCATCATGCACGGCTTGAAGTGGACAGGTGGGGCTCCCCTAAGGCTGCCAGGAGTTCCTGCAGTTAGAGAAGACCAACCAGTCGGAGCGAACCAACCACTTCGACCAGTTCGATCAGTTCGATCAGTTCGAGCAATTGTTCGTTTTGCACAACTGGGGTGTCACACTCGACTATGAAAGAAAGAAAAAAAAAAAACAAAAAAAAGAAGAAAAAAAAAAGTTAATATCCTTGGTGTCCCTCTAAACCACCCCACTCCCACCCCCTGCAGGTGTCTGGATCGTCGTGGCCTTCGTGGTCGTCGGTGTGTTTTTCCTCCTCTTCCTTTTGAAGTGACAGCGCGGGAGGGCGGTGCACCAGGAGGTACTCAGAAAGAGGTACTCTCCTGGAGATACTCTTCGTGCACCCCCCCGTCAGCGGTAGAGGTAGAAGAAGGCCAGGTAGTCCAGGACCCCAATCCGCCTCTGCTCAAACAAGTGGTAATTCCGCAAAACACACTCATTCATGTGGGAGACGCGCTTAGCCAGCGTCCACATTTTTTTATAAATAGAAATATACTTTGGGTTTTCTTTCCTGATTTTGTAGAGGTAGGCTGCATTTTCGCAGAGGAGAGTTACGGCTGAGTCGAGATCCCCTGCGTTGAATGTTCTTCTGATGGTTTGTCCGGCGTCTGGGCGACCCGTCGGAGGTGCAGCGGTAGGGTTGGCTGCATTGGCGGCATTGGGTGCGTTATCTGCGTTGACTGCATTGGGTGTGTTGACTGCATTGGCCTCGTTGTGTGATTCCCCCCTGGTGGGCCGCTCCTTCATTCGAGGCGTACCCCCTTCGTAGTAGAACCCGTCGTCCAGCGCAGAACCGGCGACAACCACAAGCAGGTCCATGTTCTGGTACAGATTGAGGATGTCGGCCCGTCCAGCGGACGAAGCCGTGTCTAGTAGGAAGTATATATACGAAGTGATCATCTGAATGCGCTTCGCGATAGGGACAAAGGGGACCAAGGTGGGCACGGTCACGGAGGGGTGGTGGGCTCGGTAGACCCCATTCGATCGGTCGGCTTCATCGGCTTCATCGGCTTGATTCGCTTGATCCGGTTGGTCCGATTGGTTGCATCCCCTCGGGAGTGTGATCAGCTGGATGGCTCTCTTGTACAGTTGGTGCGCCTTTTTCGCGTCGCGCACATCGTAGTCGTAAAACTCGGCCATGTGGAAAAGGGTATGAAGGTTATGCCCCTGGGGGGATGGCTCCTCAGAGGGGTGGATACTACCCACGGAGAGAAGATCACTCTCCCTGAATGGAAGCGAATGTTTTCCGTCGAGGAAGGTCCTCTGGACGAACTTGTAAAGGGTGAACCCAATTTTGTTGTATCGGAGGATATCGAGGTGGGATCTTGCCACGTCCACAATGTGTTCCTGACACTTTGAATCTGTCTGCATGCATCTGGAGATCCAGGGGATGTAGAACCTGACATGAGCGTACTTCCCCTCGTCGAACTGCTCATAAGGAGAATCATCCAATACATGTACGGGATCAAAATAGATCACACTAAACTTTCCGTTTCGATACAGAGTCTTATAGTTTCTGTCGTCATACAACACACGCTGGCAGAATTTCATACTTGTTCTGTGTCTACATCTGGCATAGTCTGAACCCACGAGCTCAGCAATGCTGAAGGCATTGGTCGCTTCGTTGGAGATAGAAGCACATCTGTAAATGTTTGCCACGAAGTAGCGGACCTTGTATCTATCGTAGTAGTACCTTTTGGCATCACTGAAAGGGAGACATGAGGAAAACATGTAGTAATCCTGCACTCTCCTTCGCATGGCTACATTTTCATACTGTGGGTTCAGAACCATCTTAAAGTTGGTTGTCGATCTGAGGAAGCTAGATGTAGGGATGTCTGTAAGAATGGGTTCACCTTCCTTCAGATTCTGGCGAAGCCACACGACCAGATCGAGGTTCTTCTCTATGTTGACTGGCTCGTTCCCCGTGAGGTTAACGTACTCGTACGTCGGGAAGTACTTCGCAAATGGGTATGCGCACTCCAGGAGGCAGATCCCCTGGATGATCAGGCGGGATAGGTTCTTCTTGCTGGCCCTGCGTGGGGGAGGGAAGCGGTGTATTATTCAGTTGCGTATCGTTCAGCGGTGTATCGTTCATGGGGGTCTCCGTTGAGTGCTGGATACCATAGGCCCCAAATCGGGAATGTGTGGGGTGCCCCACGTGATCAGCTCTAAGAACAGAAGGTGACTTCCCAAGTGGAAACGCGTCTCCCATACCCGAGGTGGAGCAGATTTTCCCGTGTGACGCTGTAGATGTCCCCAAGGAGGAGTGGAGACCCCACAAGACTGCTAAGCAGACACATGAGGGGCAGGGCCAGGACACGCAAGCGGGAGATTATCAGCATCAGCAGGACGAAAAAGATAAACTGGACCACCAGGTAGAGGAACTGCGCGTGGAACACTTCGAACCGGACGCGTACCCCCCTGTCGCAGTAGCTCACACGCAATCTGTTGCAGACACCCAATTTGTCGCCCCCTTGTTCGTCGCAGCCACTCACACTCAATTTGGCGCGCCTTTGTTCGTCGCTTCCACCCCGCGTGGCTCGCCAAACGTGTGAAACATAATTCACCCCGTAGAGAAGCAGAATCAAGTTAAAGAAGACGAAGTAATCAAAGAGGGAGGTCTCCCTTATCATGCTGAACATATGTCTGGTAAAGGGATTGAATTCTGAACCCACACTGTAAATCATGCTGTCGAAGTCGTGGCTACTTAGATGCAGACGCACTTTTAGAAGAGACAGAACGTGCGAGTCATCCTTCTCCATTCCAACGGTAGTCAGTCGAAGGAGAAGGAAGATCACTATGGACGTGATCCCCTTCTTCAGCATGAACGCTAGTTGGCTTCGTAACTGGGGCAACTGGAGGGGTAATATCCAAGGGGGGTCTATCTCACTCGGGGCACCATCCCTTCGGTTAGAAGCGGCTTCAGGTCTTCCATCATGGATATTGCCACGTCTTACCTCATTGGCACCGCCACGTCTTACATCATTCGCAGTGCCACCTCCCCGTCGGTAAAGCACATTCGTAATAATGAGGCTAGCCAACACGAATGGCAGATAGGTACACATCAAATAACGTGGGAAGAAAGTCGCCAACAGAGAAACGACGTAAGAGCAGGATAATGTCACGAGGATGCTGTGCAACTCCTTCTGAATGTTAAATCCAAGTAAGTCTAATCCGAACAGAGCCACCACATGGGTCAGCGTGACGAAAACGGAAAACTGCCAGGTGATGAAAAAAAGGAAGGACGACAGGAAGAGGAAGACGAGGTAGGCGTTATGTTTCTTCTGCGCGAGTGGGTGCGGAGGACGGTTCAGATGTAAAAGCGGTGAGGGCATCGAAAGGAGGGGGAGAAGCCAATTAGGGTGATGTCCATGCGGTAGGTAGACACACGCGTAAGGTGAGGTAAACCCGCTTCTTTCCCTTGCTCCCCCCCTTTTTTGTTTGTTTTTTGTTCTGTTTTTTTTTTTTTGTTTTGTTTTGTTTTTTGTTTTTTGTATTTTTAGTGGAGACGGGATTTCACCGATGCATATTTTCCATTCCTGTGTCACCTTCCTCTCCCGTAAAATGGTGTAAATGAGTAAGATGTTGCACCACATGTAGACTGAGGCGAAGTTCTCTCTCAGTGGGAAGGCTGCAGGGGAGGAGAGCATTAGGTTGGCACGCATAGAATGTTGGAATGTTGGAGGCGCACAGAAGACTGCCACTGTATAGCATAAGGGCCCCCCCCATCTGTGCTACCTCCCCTTCCTGGTGGGACACTCCACAGAACCCACCTGACAATCGCATGATGAACTTCTCCCTATAGCAGGAAAAAAAAAGCATCAGAAAAATGACGCCCGAAATGTAGGACCGTCCTGAGAAGAGGAATGAACAACAGGGGCAGAGCAATGGTGGGGGAGGAAAAAAGGAAAAGTGACTCCTGTGGGGCAGGAGAAACGGAAAAATCACTCCTTCTGGGGGTAGTCCCCCTTTTTACCCAAATAAACGGAGAAAAAGAATAAGACGCCGACGCTGGCAGCCTGGGAAAGCAGAACTGAAAGGGGAAAAAAAAATGAAAGAAGGAAGGAAGGGAAGAAGGAAGGAAAGACGGTCCTCCATTTTCGGTGATGACCTGTCCTGAAGCAACTACATCTGTTGCACAGACGACAGGGACGAAATGAAGAACAGCATATGTTGCCTCTTAACCTCCGCGAGGACATACCTCCGTGTACGTAAAAATTGAAAGGTGTTAGGAAGCGCTCCTTTAAATTAAGCATCCTCCAGACTGTTCCGAGGACAATTTCTGAGGGTAGAAAAAAGGAGAGGTGCAGATTTGTCTACACGAGGGAAGCCTCATTTGTGTGCGTGGTGAGACGATAGGAGAGTGTAAAAAGGGAACCACCTTATAATGTGAAGGAACCGTTCCAGGACTTTTTTGTGCTTACCGGGGTAAATGTTGAAGCGCCGAATGGCATTGATCGTATTGGGGTATTCGCTTCTTTCATCGTGTCTGAAGGGGAAGGCGGTGAGAGGTGATCAGTGCGTGATGGGCGCTGCGTGGTGATGTGTGAACACGGGGCCGTCAAGTCTCCTCTCTGGGCCACCACGCCTCCTCTCGGGGGCTTCCCCAATTGTGCAAGGTACATAAGCAGCTTGATGCCCTCCAGGTAGGTCTCCGATTTCACGATGTCGTCATAGAAGGAGAAGTAAAAGGATTCCTGTGGAGTGGAGAAAGTGAAGCGGCACACCATCCGTCTGTTTGAATTTGCAACACAGAGTGTTGCTTCGTTGAGCAGGTCACGTTGGTACACGGGGGTTGCTCCAGGGAGGTTGTGGTACCTCCGAGTAGAGGGACAGTTTCTGTTCTTCATAGTCTCCATAAAAGGTGTATCGGAATCGTTTGTAGAAGGTGAGTTTCACGAAGAGGCTGCACGGGGGGCATCAGTGAGGAGGGGGAGGAAGTGTGGACAGATAAATGGTCTGTACGAGTGATCCACACCACAGCATGCTGCTCTCCCGTAGGAGGGTGCCACTTTATGAGGAAAAGTGTTATCCACTCTCTCTTCCCTCGCGAATCTACACGAGTGTGCAGCAAGCTTATTTGTGATCTGCTCAAAGGGGAGTCACACGGGAAATGCGTCCATGGTTTGAAGCGTCCATGGTTTGAAGCGTCCATGGTTCGAAGCTTCAATGCTTCGATGCATCTGTGCGTCTCTCTCCTGGATGCGTTACCACACGAGCAAGGAGAAAAGAAAGAGCTTCAGCTTGCACGTTTCCATTGGGAGCGCGCATGTTGAATGGGACGTGCTGCGTTTCATTGCGTTGCGTTGTGTGTGTTTTTTTTGGGGGGGACGGGCGAAGGCGCAACTGTAACGCTAACTGAGCCCTGCGAGGGTTGCCGCGGCGGGACGTAGACAAAAAATGGTTCGATGAGCTCGTGGTCGTAGCGATAAAAAGGGCGAATTGTCACCAATGCGATGAAAAATAAAATAAAAAAAAAAATAAAAAATTAGAATAAACAAATGAACTATCGTGATGGTCGATCCCCGTAACGTCCTAACGAAGCCGGCACAGACTTTTTCTTCTTTGCTACAATCCACAATTTCCCTAATCGAGCTCCTCGCGCAAGTGCAGAGTGCCTTCACTGAAATCGTCCCACTGCACCTGGCGAAGTAAACAACGGGGGAGGAAGTTTAGCCAAACGTGGGACATTGCCAGAGTTGGCAGCATTGCAGATCAGTCATTCGTGTCTAACCATGGGGTAGCAGCAACATGAACACATACACAAAAAAAAAAGGAAGAATGCTCACATAAGTTAAAAAGAATTTTACACTTCTGCGCGAATGAAGGTTTAGTAGCTGCGACAAAAAAAAAGTGGACCAATTGGTATGCCTACAC